AAGTGACAGATGGTTTCACGGGAAATCCCACTACTTCTAGATAGATGTGTTAATGATCTGGAAAGCAGTTTAAAGTCTTTTTTGAGCATCCCTGGAAAGATTACTGGGGACCCATACAACCATAGGGGTAAAATACAGGCAAATAGAAAACGTTTAATCAAGAAGCGAGGGACGGATAATGTTTTCAGTCGTAAGACATAAAATGATAGTTTTCTGACCTTTACAAATACAGAGACAACTTGGTCAGACCAACATACGTTTCGGTTTATTAACACACCAAGATACTTGACGTTCGGGGGTTGGACAATAGTGTCATTGCCTATGTTTAAGGGGGGACAAGATTCCAAGAGATTAGCATAACGGTTCCCTCTGTGAAGTGAGAACAACATGTCTACACATTTAGAGGGATTAAGAGTTAAGTTATGCTCAGTAGACCACTGAGCAAGGTTAGTAAGGCCAAGTTGGAGGGTGGGGGTGACAGATGCATCAGGGTGGGTAATTCCGACCACAACATCGTCCGCATATTTAATAAGAAGGGAGTTTTGGAAAGTAGGCATGGATGAAATGTAAGTGGAAAAGAAGAACGGAGATAGAATAGCACCCTGTAATACGCCCTGTGTAGAAAGTAAGGAAGAAGAGGATCGACCAAGGTAACGTGTGAACTGTGATCGATTTATAAAATAGTTGGTGAGTACTGCAGTAATAGTTTGCGATATTCCGTGGGAAGACAAAATATTTAACAGCAAAGATCTATCAACACAATTGAAGGCGTCACTGTAATCCAAGAAACAAATTCTGACAGCCTTCTTGTTTCCGTCAAGTGCTGACAGAATGTAGTGAACCAGAGAAGCTAGGGCATCTACGGTAGAGCGAGAGCGACAGTACGCAAATTGGTTTTGGTCCTGCACATTCAGCTGAGATGACATTCCTTGGAAGAGTAACTTCTCGAAAAGCTTCAACAACGCCAACTATAATGGTATCTTATGTGGCTCGCTATTAAGAGGATTAGGTTGTCCTCTAGGATAAGTGGAATCCGGCCCTTCCGGTTTTCACGGTAAATCTCCTCGCGCGAAGCGTGAATCGAAAAGGTAGATGCTTTGCTGTGATTGGGTTTCATCAGCAGATGAATCCGTCGAATCAACTCCGGATCGGGCTGGAGAATTTCAATCAATCTTGCTGAGAAAGGTTCTGACGAGTAGAACTGAAACCAAATAACCATTATTTTTACTTTTATTTATTTTTTACTGAATATAAAACGATACCATTTTCCGGAAGCGGAAAGCGACCAATCAGATGGCTGTCATACAACAGAGAAGACGGTGGTGGAGGGATTCGAACACACGTCCTCCAGGGCAATAAATTTGTGACGTTCACTGCCAATATGTAAATCACAGAGAAACGGAACAGTTCAAAGAATAAAGTTCAATAATAATCCTATAGCTAAAAGCATACGGTATCACTGTATCCCAGTGGGGACTGGTCATGTTGGATGTTTTCCATTGTCCTGTTTCTGTAGTGTACTATAACCAAAGCCACGCCCCACAGAAATAAAAATGGAATACCATTATCAACTTGGCTTCCTACTTCTGTACGGGTAATCTGGTGTCGCAACAAGAGTTCATCGAAGTCTAAGCCTCCCATGGGTGAAGTGAAACTGGTTAATCACAACACTTGCGTATATATACGTTAGTCATTAGGAACATCATCCTCATTGTACAGTGAAATAAAGTGAGGCGAAATTCACTGATTACTGACAAGCTCAAAATGTGTACAACTACCCCGTGCAAACCGGAGTTGTCAGTTGGGCCGCTGTGGTATAACCGATAGATTGCGTTGCTATGTACGTTGATTAGTTTTGTGCCACAGTTAGGTAGTCGGACTTCGGACAAACAACAGATGTCTACCTTGTAGTCGTGCAGTGATCGCATCGTGATACACTGGCTCCCTGTGTCCAGCAATTTTCTAACATTCCAGAAGGCTACATGGATGCTGGAACTGGTGCATAAATAGTTTAGGTTTCCAGCTTGCTCATTTGTCACCCCAGCCACTGGGAGAGCGCAGGGCGCGTCGCTTCCCGGGAACGCCGTAGCATTAACGTAATGTACCATTCATACGTTCAAGTCGGAAAACTGAGCGCACCGGAAGCTTGCCTAGGCGGTCGTGCTCTGCCCTGCCAGCGCACAGATAATGGCGATCGAACTCTTCAGATCGGGGAGCTTGTCGAATCAATCGAGGTTTTCAAATATCTTGGCTATAAAATCAGACCAAATAGCGAGGCTAAGGATGATATCCAACTCCGTATAGGGTGGCGTAGTGGTTTAGTCACTGTCGTATGCGTGTTTGGACCCTACTGTCTGAGGCTGGAGCCCCTGCACCGCCACCCGACTTTGGTGGTAGGCAGCTTTGCCGTCGTCTGGTTCCGTACCACGCCTAACCTATTGTGGCCTTATGTGGTTCATCACTTCAAGTCCCGGGCATTAGGTTAATGGTTTCTATCACTGAACGGTAAGTCCAGGGGACGATGGGGTTTACTCGGCTTGCTGTTCATCACACGGAAGTATGTAATAAAAATGGATGCATTTCTAACGGCCTTACTGCAAATCCGCAGCCCGTGGTGCAATGGACAGGAAATAAGCTGGAACACTAAGCATTACATCCACGTGTGATGAACAGCAGACGGGGCGAACCCTCTAGTAACCAGGA